GGGGGCCGCAGGTTCCTCGCTAGGGTGCGGCTAAGTGAAAACAAATTCCATTTTCTTCCCTGGGTTTCGCAGAGCAATTGTGAGAGTTTGACCTAGGGCGCCTTGAGACAACCTAGACGCAGAGAGAGAGAGAGAGAGAGAGAGAGAGAGAGAGAGAGAGAGCGCCGTGGCTCTAGCAATTTCGGGAACCTCTGACACGAACGGTTTCTTTTCTTAATAATAATTTTTTAAAAAAAAGATGGTTGAAAATGGTTTATTTTCCGTCTGTTAATGTCTGTCTGGCCACTAACGTGTTATTTGTCTACCTACACCAGGTATGGATCTTTCAAGCCCCCGATGTCCGGAGAATGGCAGCGGAAACTCAGGTTAACATTCAAGGTGTTCGCACTGGCCATGAAGACGTTCAGCGTGGAGTTCTTCCTGTGCGAGGGGAGCATGCTGGGGGCGTACCGCCACCATGGTTACATACCGTGGGACGATGACATGGACCTGTGCATGAATGGTTCTGATTGGCTCAGAGTCAAACAGGTTAGGGCGAGTCGTCTTTGGGTGGGTCAGTTAACATGAAGACCGTCACGGCTCATTGAATTTTGGGGGGTTGGGGGGGATATATAATTTAATCTTGTTCCCAGATTTTGTGATGTCTTCACCGCTGCTCTTGTCTTGCGCTCAGCCCCGCTCTTGTCCTGTCTTCACCGCTGCTCTTGTCTTGCCCTCAGCCCCGCTCTTGTCCTGTCTTCACCGCTGCTCTTGTCTTGCCCTCAGCCCCGCTCTTGTCCTGTCTTCACCGCTGCTCTTGTCTTGCCCTCAGCCCCGCTCTTGTCCTGTCTTCACCGCTGCTCTTGTCTTGCCCTCAGCCCCGCTCTTGTCCTGTCTTCACCGCTGCTCTTGTCTTGCCCTCAGCCCCGCTCTTGTCCTGTCTTCACCGCTGCTCTTGTCTTGCCCTCAGCCACGCTCTCGTCCTGTCTTCACCGCTGCTCTTGTCTTGCCCTCAGCCCCGCTCTTGTCCTGTCATCACCATTGCTCTTGTCCTGTCATCACCATTGCCCTTGTCCTATCCTCACCTCTGCCCTTTCCTTGCCCTAAGCCCTGCTCTTTCCTCGCACTCAGCCCTGCTCTTGCCCTGCCCTAAGGCCTGCTCTTTTCCTGTCATCACCCTTTCCCTTGTCCTATCCTGCATTCACCACTGCTCTTATTCGGTCTCCATCGTTGCCAGTAAAGTAAACCACTAACTGGCTAGCCTTTTTTTTCTGCCGCAACGTCTACTTTGGTCTACTTATCCTTATCTTATTGAAAGTCATTCGATTCCAATGACAAGAGACGCATTTAAGCCATTTCTTGCCGAGATTATACTCCAGCCTTTTCCACTCGTAGTAAGAGGGACTGGGAGGGGGTAGTCCGGCCCCGGGGGGGGGGGTGTGTAGGGGCTTTTTTTGGCGTCGACAAAGCCGATCAACTATAAATACTTAAAGGACATTTTTTTTTTTTTTTTTTCGTGTGTATTTCAGGCGTCACAAACTCTATATAGCTACTCCACTGATCTCACCACAGCGTATCTTAAAATAGAGCGGTGTTTGAATTTTATATTCCATAATATATCTTAGATCACATTCATGGAACGCTAATGTGAAACGGCGATCTCTATTTACAAAAAAAAAAAAAAAAAAAAAAAAAAGAAAAAAAAAATAAAAAAAAAAAAAAAAAAAAAAAAAAAATGAGCGAAAGCATAAAAACGTTACAAAATAAAGCAGAATTTGCCAACCTTAGGTGTCCTCTAAGCCTTTGTGTCTTTGGGGTGCAATGAAAAGAAGTTATATTAGGAAAAGAGGTGTCATTGACATAAATGATATAGAAAGTCATGATATAATGACAGACGTGAATAATTTTGTTCCTCTTGTAGAAAAGTTTGTCATCCACGTTCTGTGATGTCACAACCTCAATTTCTAAGATCTCCCTGCGATTAAAGAACAAATTAAACTCATTTTTTTTTTTTTCAAATTCCAAATTTATTTTTACTATTTTAGGGGTGGTCAGACGTGGTCAGACCATTCATGGAGGGGGGGGGGGGGCGGCGAAATTCGTCAAAGAATGCTTAAGGATGCACAGATTATAGGACAATGTTTGTGAAACCCTGTGCGAAGGGAAGTAACCACTTACTTTAAATATTGCCTTGTTTTGACACATCAATATGTTTATTACCTCCCTTTATAATTATTTTTGCGTAGTCTGTCCCTACGCTGGCAAAATATTATTTATTTGTTTAATTATATTTTTACCCATCCCCCGTTCAGATTCTTCACTGCATCCCGGATTTTGACGTCGACACCAGGAGTTACATGATGTACAAGTTCTTCTGGAAGCGGTCGGAGCTCATCAAGGGAGAAGACCTGCTCCGAGTCCCTTACCTGGACATATTCTTCTTCACCGAGAACGACAAGTACATCTGGGCGCTGTCCAGGATCAAGAAGCACAGGATCGTCTTCAGGAAGGAGGACATCTTCCCTCTGACGACACGGCCGTTCGAGGACATGACGGTCCCCTTGCCCAAGAAGTTCGAGTACCTGTGTAACACGATGTACGATCCCACGATGTGCGTTAGTAGGGACTACGATCACTTGAAGGATCGATTACTGATACCGTTTTACGATTACCAGTACATACCGTGCGCGGTGTTCAAAAAGATCTACCCGTTCGTGGAGCGTCGGGAGATCGTGGTGGACGGCAGGCAGGCGACTCTGGAGGTGAAGAAGATTGGGAGGAAATTGTTGGGTAACTTTACAGCTTTTCACTGACAAGCAGGACGGGACATTATCGTGGAGTTGAGCTCTTCACGGAGTTCATACAAAGGAAACACAAATGCAGGCAACTCTCGCTTGATGTAAGAGAGGCGTTCTGAATTTAGACAGCTGTCACGTCGTGGTAAGAATCTGCCGGCTTACAGGGAGAGACCTGTTCTACATTTCGACAGATGTTAAATTTACTTTGGGAGATGTGATGCATCAGGAAAGCGGTCAGACCACAACAGTAAAGAGAAATGGGGCTCTTTGTGACAGCTTTCAAAATATACAAAGAATCATTGGGCTACAGGGCTTATCTCCCAGAATATCAAAGAGAAATAAATGCTACATTATAACAGCTTTCAGACAGGGACGTCATTTGGGTAGGGCAGGGTGGGGCATTTGCCCCCCCTCCCCCCACACACACACACTTGACTTTGGAGGTTTTATTTAAATTGCAATGTACCGTGGCGCGTCCAGTTATAAACAATCTGAACAAGCCGACTGAGTTTTGGTTTTGCCCCCACCCCACCCTCCTTTCTAAAAAAAAAACACCCTGAAATGATGCCCCTGTCTTTAGAACATACAAAAAGATATATGCTCCACCATGACATCTGTCAGATCATGTCAGTCAACAGAAATGTGCTACACTTTGTCAGCGCAATGGTAGTGCCCCAGCCCAGCACAACTCAACTTAACGGCTAACATGTTGGCAAACGCTTCTATAGTATCGCTAGCTTCTCAGTCTTCGTGAAACCAAGGACATAGTATTAACTTGTATTGGCCGTATAAAGGTAAGACCCATCTGGTAAATATACGTCCTCTTCAGGGAATCGTAAGGCAATGTTAGTCTTGTTAAGATAAATCCAAACAACGTTTTTTTTGTTGTTTTTTTTAAAGCTTGACAGTGCAGAATACTTATGATGGAATGCTTTGCGATGGCTTGTAAGGAAATGATTTGTGATGGCTTGTAAGGAAATGATTTGTGATGGCTTGTAAGGAAATGATTTGCGATGGCTTGTAAGGAAATGATTTGTGATGGCTTGTAAGGAAATGATTTGTGATGGTTTGTAAGGAAATGATTTGTGATGGCTTGTAAGGAAATGATTTGTGATGGCTTGTAAGGAAATGATTTGTGATGGCTTGTAAGGAAATGATTTGTGAAGACTTGTAAGGATATGATTTGTGATGGCGTGTAAGCAAATGATTTGTGATGGCTTGTAAGCAAATGATTTGTGAAGACTTGTAAGGATATGATTTTTGATGGCTTGTAAGCAAATGATTTGTGATGGCTTTTAAGGAAATGATTTGTGAAGTCTTGTAAGGTTTCAGAAAGCTTCTATGAATAGATTTGATTATTGCAATTCGAAATTATGCAAAGATCTGTTTCTTGTATATAAATGTTTGAATAGATACGAATGTTGCATATGAATTTATGGATAAACATGGCTGCTGTATATGGTACTATACATCAATAAGGCTGTTTCATATTATATGAATTTATGCATAGCTCTGGTTGTTATATGTCAATGTATGCATACACGTGGCTTCGTTATATCAAAAATATGATTACATTTTCTTACCGTGCCTTTGTTTACACATACAGATCTAAGGAGATCACGTGATTCTGCTGAGCATTTTGGCTATTTATAACTTCGTTTGTTGCTAGTTGATTTAAATTTAATTAAACAGCTTGAAATCATGGTGAGGGAATAAGCGGGTGAACTCCGTACCTACGCAGGCAGAGGATCATCAATCAAAAAAAAAAAAGAAAAAAAAGACTGGTTGCTTAATGATATGACCGGGTTGCCATGATGTTATAGGGTTGTTCTAATGTGACCCGGTTGCCATGATATGAAGGAAGAAATCTGCAGCAATAGCTCTTCGACAAATCACCTTGGTCATGGACTAATCTCCACTATCATGGACTAATCTCCACTATAATGGACTAATCTCCACAGTCATGGACTAATCTCCACTGTCATGGACGAGTCTCCTCTGTCATGGAAAAAATAACCTCCGTTATACGAATGAATCTCCTCTATCATGGACGAATCTCCTATGTAATGGACGAACCTCCTCTGTCATGGACGAATCTCCGTGCCTTTGTATGCCCTGAAGAGTAGGATAACGACACAACCAGGTGTTAAACTGGACCCCGGGAGGGGGGGCGAATGCCTTCATATGAAAGGACCAAAGCAAACAACCGGTTATAGGCTCAAAGAATGCCTTCATATGAAAGGACCAAAGAAAACCACCTGTTATAGGCTCAAAGAATGCCTTCATATGAAAGGACCAAAGAAAACCACCTGTTATAGGCTCAATGAATGTCGACTTGCCATGGTTTTCAAAATGCTTGAAAATCAGAGCGCTCACCCATACCAAACCATATCAGTTAGGCGACATCTGCATGATGGCCCCACTGGGATGGAATAAGCCGGACACTTATGTATCGTTGTGGTGCGACGTTCCAGCCACAGATAAGTTAGTATCGGTATCAGGAAAGAACTCGTGCGTCTTTATTTAGTGCCATGCCAGCTGTATGTATTCAACGATTGACTGTATTCTATTTTGCCGTCCAGAGTTTTGCATTTATATGACAATCATCTCAACCCCCCCCCCCCCTCCCAAATCAAACTCCTATATTTGACTCTATGACATCCAGCCCTTATCCAACTCTTATTACTTAATACCGACGATCATGGGCGCCCTCAGGGGGGAGGGGGCCAGGGGGGCACTTGCGCCCCCCCCCCCCGGATTGATTGGATAAAAAAAAATTGAACAGAAATAGACAAAAAATTGATTAAAGTAAAGAGACAATAAAGAGAAAGTAACTCAGCTGATGTCCTGTCCGTTCGATCACCATACAAATACACTACAGTAAATTAAAACTACATTAAAAAATTACTAAAAATGTTAATCGATTTTTTTGCCCCCCCCCTAGAAAGTTTTCTGCGGGCGCCCATGCCGACGCTTAGCAGAATCAATCTTAACAGCACAATGGTCTTTCCCCTCGTTACAACTCACAACTGTACACGCGAGCTTTGTTCTCTTTAAGTGATCAATTTAACTTTTTATGGGCAGAAAATGCTTGTTATAATTCTGGACCAAAAAGAATCCTTTCCTAAAGCTTACCACCCGCTTATAAACTGACCGTCTTGAGATCTGGTTTTGGTTTTTTTTCGAACGAAAAAGGCCAACTTTTTGTAAAGTCAACTGTTTGTAAAAGTCAACTGTCTGTACAAGTAAACAGTAAATTTTCAAGAAAAATGCTGAGACTTCTTAACCTGAAAAAGCCTTTCGACACCTTTATTAAATACATAAAATTATTTGGAATACTCTCAGTACCAAGGGGAAATACATTAGCTGAACTATGACGTAGACAACACCTTTTCGGCCACTTTAACATTATATCTGAATTACTTTTTTTTTTAAAAATAATTTTTATTTTTAAAGCATTTTTTCCTGCAACATTTATAGTTTCATTACAATTGGAAATATTTCAAATTTGCAATTCATCTTGCAGAGTCGCCGCAATAATTAATGACATACGGTCGAATAAATCTGTGCAATGATATCTATCTACACTATCGAATCCTTGTTGCTGTTTGTTGTTTTTTTGTTTTTTTTTTGGAGGGGGGCGGGGGGGGGGTGGGGAAACCAACCATACTTAGCAAATGCCTCTTTTTTCTGTTGATTTAGACACGACAATGAATAATGGAATTCATTTTAAGATTTGAATTGATGGCTGAAATGAATTGTAGTGTTGTTTGTAATCGAAAAAATTTAAAAAAAAAAATAACTGGATCCTTATGTTATAAGAATTGTTTTATAACTTTGCTGTTAACCCTCTTGGAATTTTTTGAATTTTAAATTTCACCTCCCCCCCCCCCACCCTTAACCCAAAAAAATCAACAAATAATAAATCAAATTAAATTTTTAAAAAGATAAACAAACAACATTAAATTAATAATACATTAAAAAAAAAATAAAATGAATAAATGATGATGTCTGTCGTTCTTGCAACATGTCCCGCGGAGCGAAGCTGTGACTGCATTGATAAGGTGCATAGTCTGACGGGGAAAAAGAGGGGGGGGTGGCTTCTTGTACGAGTACCTCGGTATCTGGATCCTTTGTCCTGCCATTTGATGCTCTGGATTTGTCCTCAGGCTTGTCGTAACGATGGATCCTCTTTAGTCAGTAAGACGTTTGTTCCAGCATTTGCGCCAAAGTTCCAACAACCCGTGTGTTACCCTTGGGGTAGTCATATTGTAACCATGGCACTGCCGCGTCCGTGAATGCTTCGATTATCACATGTCAAGGTCGTTCACAGGTGGATGCAGGGTAACGTGGTTAACTGAAGACAAGTCATTTGGCAAGGTCAAAGACAATTTTAATGAATGGCTTCTCTATGATCTGGTTGTATCATCATTCAAACATACACACACCTAGAGCGCAGTTCGCTACTGAACTACCATAAAATCTTCTCACTCAATGCCCAACCTGCAAATGCTACACAAATATCACCTACTGAAAAGACATACTACATACACTACGTCACAGCAACATAAAATCAAGTCATGAATATATATCTATATCTATATCTATATCTATATCTATATCTATATCTATATCTATATCTATATCTATATCTATATCTATATCTATATCTATATCTATATCTATATCTATATCTATATCTATATATATATATAAAAAAAAAAAAAAAAAAAAAAAAAAAAAAAAAAAGAAATGCTGCTATTGCAAAATGTTTCCTGTTATCTCAATGAATTTTTAATACATTCCAAACTGGTGTTTTTAAAAAGCTGTATTTTCCTAGTATTTATTTATTGATGTTTTATTTCTACTTAAGAACCAAACATAAAAAAAAAAAAACATTATTGCTGTGAAATGTTATTATACACAAATAATAAAAATAAAGGTTTACCTCGATAACATTCGTTCGTTCATGTTTATTTTTGTTGCCTGTCACATGTTCCAAAAAAAATTGTTCATATTCATTTTTCGGAATGTCACGTATTTCAAATATTCGTTCGGATTCAATTTGTGTAATGTCATGTGTTCCGATAGTTTTTTTTCATATTCGCTCTATAGAATGTAATGCATTTCAAATAGTTGGTAATAATCACTCTATAGAATGTCACGCATTTAAAAAATTGTTCATATTCATTTTGTAGAATCTCACGTGTTTGAAACATTTGATCCGAGCAGGTTGTGGCCAGCAACTGGCCATTCAACTAGACAATTGCCTTTTTAAATATTTAAAGTTTTCAGCCTCCCATGGCGGTTCTCAAATTGCTTATGACAATGAGATATGTTGTTTTCCACTGCAGATTTAAAAAAAAAAATAACTGGATCATTATGTTATAAGAATTGTTTTATAACTTTGCTGTTAACCCTCTTGGAATTTTTTGAATTTTAGATTTCACCTCCCCCCCCCCACCCTTAACCCAAAAAAATCAACAAATAATAAATCAAATTAAATTTTTAAAAAGATAAACAAACAACATTAAATTAATAATACATTAAAAAAAAAATAAAATGAATAAATGATGATGTCTGTCGTTCTTGCAACATGTCCCGCGGAGCGAAGCTGTGACTGCATTGATAAGGTGCATAGTCTGACGGGGAAAAAGAGGGGGGGGTGGCTTCTTGTACGAGTACCTCGGTATCTGGATCCTTTGTCCTGCCATTTGATGCTCTGGATTTGTCCTCAGGCTTGTCGTAACGATGGATCCTCTTTAGTCAGTAAGACGTTTGTTCCAGCATTTGCGCCAAAGTTCCAACAACCCGTGTGTTACCCTTGGGGTAGTCATATTGTAACCATGGCACTGCCGCGTCCGTGAATGCTTCGATTATCACATGTCAAGGTCGTTCACAGGTGGATGCAGGGTAACGTGGTTAACTGAAGACAAGTCATTTGGCAAGGTCAAAGACAATTTTAATGAATGGCTTCTCTATGATCTGGTTGTATCATCATTCAAACATACACACACCTAGAGCGCAGTTCGCTACTGAACTACCATAAAATCTTCTCACTCAATGCCCAACCTGCAAATGCTACACAAATATCACCTACTGAAAAGACATACTACATACACTACGTCACAGCAACATAAAATCAAGTCATGAATATATATCTATATCTATATCTATATCTATATCTATATCTATATCTATATCTATATCTATATCTATATCTATATCTATATCTATATCTATAT